CATATGTAGGTGCCACCCTGGTAAATTAATGAGGCCTTAGATCAGTTTTGACAGTAGCGGTGTTAGATGGATTTACTCTCCTAAAACTCCACTGTGTTTTTCAGCTGATAGGTGATGAGTTGGTGTGAATATTCCAGATGAAAAGAATTTTTAAAACCCCAAACAAAACCACAACAAAAGCCCCCACAAAATGCCCCCCAAAAACAAAACCACAAACAAACCCCCAACACTTTAAAAGCAAGATTTAAGGAAACATGCAAGTTTTTCTCTTGAAATACGAATGATTTTGAATCCTTCTTACCTACAAACAGTCAGAAGTAACACAGTTTAGCTAACTTTTTTCCCTAACCAAACTTGAGAAAATGGTCTAATCCACTACATTTAGTTGTTTTTTGAAATTACTCTTTTGTCAGGCCTAAGAGTAGCATAGTAGTAGTAGGGTAGTTATTCCCAGGATCACTTCTTTCCTGCTAAAGAAACAGGACTACTTGTTTTGTAGTCTTCTGGATTCTTCTACATGCCTGCAAAATTTTGAAAATCACTAAATAATTTTGAAAATCACTGAATAATACAATAAAGTAGCCAGCTAGTTTAAATTTCATTCTCTGTATGTACTGGGAGAGAAGAGAACACGAAGATTGTGAGACTGAATCTGCGCTATATTTCTGTATTTGAACAAGTGCCATTCATAATTAACTCTGGAGTACTACATGGACTTACTCAAGTGAAGAACCATTTAAAAATACAACTAAATACAGTAATTTATTGGTAGGAGTCAGTATAGCCTGCCTTCTTCCTAATCCTAAAGATTGCTCATAGTTTTAAAAACTGTTCATTTAGTCTGGTGGGGGAGCAAAAGCTGTCTCAGTGCTGTCCTTGTTCTTTACACTGTTCTTTATTTTGACTTTCAAACCAGACTATTTTAAGAAAAACAGTTAATGGTACCGGAGTATTTTTTTATCATATGTTTTTGTTTGAGGTGTTCTGATCCTTTTGGAGGTGCACCATGGTTTCATTTCAACAAGGTTTTTTTGCAGGCCTACATAGACCAGCACATGGTTCCAGCCCCATTGCCAGCTCTGCTTCCTTGTTTCAGGCAAGGGATGGCCAAGGAACTAGTGAATGGGGGTGAGATTGGGAACTAATTAGTTTATGTGTTCAGATGGAGCAAAGAGGCTGTGATTGGACCAGGTTTGAAAATAAACTGATTTGTCACCAATGTAAAATGCATTTGAAAAGGACAACCCTGCATGAAAAAAAATAAAAAGGAATAAAGAATCAGAAATGGATAATGAGATGCAGCTTTGTTAAGTTGGGGAAAACTGATGCCTAATGGTAGCAGAGTCAAACAATTTAAAAAAGGAGGTAGAAATACTGCCTTGCCAGAGAAGATAGGAAACAGTGAGTTTAATATTGAAGAATGTTTAGTGTTATGATAGATTGCAAGACCAATATGAGATAAAGACACACTCTACGAGACTGAAAGGGGAAAAAGGCAAATTGGAGAGGGTAGGATAAGAGCAGAAATCAGCAGAAATGTTGGCTAATTAATTGAGAATTCTCTCAAGTTTAGGTATCTCTTTTCTGAGAGAAGCCAACAGAGTGTGCCCAATGGTTTTTATATTGAGTCAACACTAGCAACTGTCAGTAACTTTCATAATTCTAGTGGGAGAGGCTGGAGAAATGCCTTTAAAATTTCTGGTCCAACTAATTAGTTGTGTGTGCAACAGTATGCTTAAAGGTCTGAAAACTGCATGTAGGCTTTTTAAAAAAACCAAAACCATTAATACTACAATGTCAATTTCACTAATATTTAGCATAATATAGGTGAACTATGTTTATGCATTGATAAAGTCCTTGGCCACATGATCACATGCTGTTTCTTTTGGAGAATTTTGATTTTATGACTTCTCTGGGAATATGTTAATACATTTGCTGTGTAGGGACCTAACTGTGATTGAATACTTGGTGTAGTGCATGATTTAATTCTGTTTAGATTAATTTAAAAGATATACTCTAATTTGGGATGTTGAGTCTTTACTTCTCCTTTCTGTTTATAAAATAGGCATATAGTACTGCTGCTTCAGCTCATGAGCTTTACTTTGAAACACTGGACAATGCCATGATGAAAAAAGTGCACATGCAAACTTCTGATTTTTTAAATGGAGCATGAATAGCCCTTCAAGTCAGTAAATAACGCTGTGGAACCATACAATGAGTAATGAGAATAAAACAAAATTCTGTATTAGCTACTCACTAATTGAACACTGTCGATCCAACTGAGGCAGCAGTCCCGCGTTTTAAGTAGTACATGATCAGATAAGACTAACACAGCATCTATACAGAGCTCACTTTGAGGCTTCACAGGTGAATTTTTACTTTAGTATTTCATAAATTTGAGTGTTTAGTATTGCAACCTTAACCTGTATAGTTCTGTGTATTTATTTTATTTATATATTGTGCGGTTTTTACCTACACAGTTCACTTAAATATTTCTCTATTTATTAAGAGACTTAATATTGTCAGTGGCCATCTATCAGGATTTTGCTCTGCATAAAAGCAAGGACTCGGTGAAAAGAGTATCTTTGTATACATTCTTCTTGGATTGCTCAACATCAGGCAGCCTGTTTAACAGCTTGCCCTCTAGGAAGATGCCATTCTCTAGGAATGTTTTTCCTAAAATAATGTGCAATTATTATTATTCTGCTATAAGACATAAACTTAACTTTATGGCTGCAACTGGTGTAATGAAATGCAGTCATGTGGTGTTTGTTACTAGATCAGGTTTCTCACAGAAAGATTTGTCTTCTCTTAGGATTTAAATAAATAAGTAAATAAATCCCCTAAGTTCTCTTTAGTTTTTTAGAATTCACAAAGCATTCTAGCAATGCATTTCTTCTGTTGGCAATGTAGAGTGATGTAACTGCTTCATTTGGCAGTATGGACAGCATCAAAGAAGCATCAGAGAAAATGTATTTTAAACTTTTACAGGGAGCTGCTCTTTGGTTCAAGACCATGCAAGATTGATTTATCTGTGTGACTTTGCAGAATTCTCCATATGCCTTCATTTCAATTGTTCAATGCATGAAGTAATATATTCAGCATATAATTTTTTTATATTAAATGTATATGTATATGCATATATTTGTGTGTATATGTTTAATATGAATGGGTTGCTATAAAGTACGTGCCTTATTTCAGGAAAGTAGAGTTGTCTTGGTTCAAAAATATTGACTCTTACACAGAGTTATTTTAAGGATGTTGCATAAGGATGATTTCCCCACCCCCACCCCTTAAATACAGGCCAGGTTTGTCAGGGAATTAAATGAAAGAGCCATAACTTTGGCTCTTAGTTTATATCAAAACAAATAATGTGAAATGGTTATTGTGTTTTAACAAATCACTATTCATCAGATGATCCATGGTAACTACATGCTTGATTTTAGCAAGTAAAAACATGCTTGAGTTTAACTAAACAAATTTTACCCTGACGAATGTCGGCTGGCATGCAGTAACTCCAGTGGGCATTATTAATTCATTCATGATGCCTGCACCATAACTTCATGGGCAATAAATATACTCCTAATTCTTACAACCAGATCCTGTAACTTCACAATTCAAAACAAGTATAAGGGGTGTGAAAGGAGGTATGTGTATGTATGTCTTTGGTTAGTGCAACAATCTCATGAGGCTATTAATCATAACTGCTGGTATCTGTTCTTGGGATTAAAATTAAATATACAAAGCTGTTGCCCAATTTTATATACATTTGAAAGACTTTGCAGCAGCAGCATCTATATGCTGTGACTGGTATTGTAGGTAATTCATTTCACAGTAGCATAGCCAATAAGCAGAATAGTTGATCTATTCTGAAAGAGGAAAAAACCAAATCCACCCATGTTCCTTACCTTTTCTGAATTGTGATGTTTGGGCTAGAGGTAATACAGAATATCTGTATTCACGATGATAGCATTTCAACTAGAATCAGAAAGTTGGGTACATATCTGAAATTTCTACAAAAAGATTGGAAGTACCTAATAAAATCAGGATTTTGTCTCCACTACAATTATGGTATTTTAAAATGCGCAGCCCAAATATATGAAAAACAATCTGGGTTGGTTTTGTTTTGTTTGTTTTTAATATTTAAACTGGTTTACTGGTAGGTTTACAACACTTTCTTTCAGTGAGGCTGAAAACAGCAGAGGACACCAGTTGACAGTTTAATTTGCTGATTCATCTGTTATAGTGATGGCTTCTAGCCAGACCTTGGCTTGCAGACTAAAGGCTGAGAGCTGTGAAGATGCTGGGATTTGAAGGAGTGTTGGTAAATTGTTGCTGAGTGAAGGCAGTGAAAGTTTTTTCTTTATTTTTGAAGTTACTCTAATTTTGCACTGACAGAAATCCTTCTACCTTGAACTTGCAGTCTTTTTCTAGTTAAATGGTCAAACATTAGAAAGGTAAAGGATGGAACAGCTGGATATTAGCTAAGTGCTGCTTCCATGGGTATCTTGTGCAACCAAAAATGCAGCTCAAATAAGCTTATGTTTCACAGCAATCAGAGTTTTGGCAGAGGCTTTGCAAATGTCATCTTTTCCTGGCAGACATGCAAAATAAACCTGCTGGGTTAAGTAACGAGACTAAAAGGGAAAAAATCCAGGAAATCTTTTCTTGCCAATAAGCAATCTGGAAGAGGGTTACTACTGAAGAATTGGTAGTTTCTAATTTAAAAGAAAAGTCTTAAGTAGATTTAACCCTTTTTGTATGAAGTCTGACTCTGAGAAGAGGTTTGATTTGTCTAATTCAGACATACCATGTGAATTTAGGAGAGTATGACTTTACTTTTTTTTTTCCCCTAATCACTAACAATGGAAGTAGCAATAGTTTATATGAACAGAACAAATAGCTCACTGCCTCCTGCTTTTCAAAATAAGTTTTTTCAGGAGAGGGCATGCTGTCATTTAACAGTGTTTTGTATATAACATCACTCTTCTTCCTCATAGCTGTAAACACCAGCAGGTATGCTGAAAGTTATAGGATCCAGACATATGCAGAATATGTTGAGAAAAAACATGAAGAAAAACAGGCTAAGAGAAAATGTACAGAAGATAGTTGGAAGGAGATGGAGAGAAAGCGGTTAAAAACTCAGTGCACACCTTACGTTTCCCAGAGTCGATACTACTGTGTTAACAGGTGAGACTTTTTCTGCATTGCCAACTCTTGTATTTTTTTTATTGTATTTATGTTAGAAGTCTATCAATGTTCAAGTAGTTCTTAACCAATAGGTGACTTTTTTCTGTACATATTTCTTTGCATATAACTCAGTAGTGCTACATCAGCTGTCACAAGATCACAGGTAAAGGAGCAGAGGGAATTTGGTCACAAATGTGGTTAGATAAATTTTTAAAGTATTTGGATCCTGAGGGCAGCTCAAATTGCAGTTCCTGAGCTTGATGTAGCAGCACCATTTCTTGTAACAAAATAAAAGAATTACTTTTGGGTTTGGACTTTCCATTGTGATAATACATCCACAGAGATAGGTATAAATTAGCATCTTGAGCAGTCCTGATGAGGTCATCCTTACGCTTTGGAAACAGAAGGCAAATGGTAATACTTGCATGGCTTTAAGTTTTTGGAGTAAAACTTGAAAAGGGTTTTAGTTCATTATTTAAGGACAAAATTAAGTCAGGAGATGCCAGTTTTGATTCTGGTACAGTATGTTGCTGTGTGTATTTCTTGTTCCATTTTTACCCTCTCATGTTAATGACAGGTTATGGATATGACTGTAACAGGAGGCTTCTGTCTCAGTCATCTGGGTAGCTGTGAATGGGAAGGGTCTTCTAGTGTTAATATAATGATATAAATAACCTATCAAGTTATTACCATTCTTTCTTCCCCCCCATCCCCCTCCAGATTCTATCAATTCTATATAAAAATAAGTTTCAATGGAGTACATAAATTGCATGTAAGGTGGTGGGTTTGGGTATTTTGTTGGGTTTTTGTTTTGGGGGTTTTTTTCCTAGTTAGTCAGACCAAATGAGATGGTCATAAAATGAACACTGAGGTCTTTTCTGCTTTATCTTTCTTGGGAATGCTATAAGTTCTAGCTCTTGTTATATCTTCCTGTAACTGTTTTCTGTCATGTAACAAATATACTAAACTTGTTCTGTTCTTCTCACATAAGCTTATGATTTGCCTATTTTGCAAAATTAAATGCAGGTGTGTATTTTGGATAGCTGTCAAATTTTCATGGCTTTTGTCATGGTGGGTATTCTAAATGTGTTAGAGACATGTTTGATCCGTAAAAACCATATGGAGGAACCCGATGATAAAATCCCTATCAAATGAAGCTAGTTCAGTTGAACTGTTGTACTTAGGAAAACTTGGGAGTGCATGCTATGAAGAGATGAGGAGCTCTAAAAATTGTCCTGGCACTAGTTTACATGTGGTTATGGTTTAGGTCTATAATTAAGTCTGTATTAAATAGTCTGAAAACACTTAGCACATCTTGAGTCTACTGCAATGAAATACTAAGTCCTACTAGAGGAAGTATCTCTCCTCAATGAAAGTTGGGTTTTCTCTCAGATTCTATGCAGATGGTAAGAGTTGCATCTTACGGTTTGAGCCATACACAACGGTTGTGGTTTAACCTGGCAGGCAGCTAAAACAACCACACAGCCATTTGCTCACTCCGCCTGCTCCCCAGTGGGATGGGGGAGAAAATTGAAAGGGGAAAAAAACCCCAAAAAGTAAAACCTGTGGGTTGAGATAAAGACAGTTTAATAGAACAGAAAGGGAAGATTATAATAATCATGATAAAAGAATATACAAAACAAGTGATGCACAGCACAATTGCTCACCACCCGAAACTGATGCTCAGCTAGTTTCCAGGCTGCGATCCTGCCTCCCAGCTAGCTTCCCCAGTTATAAACAGAGCATGATGTCATATGGTATGGAATATCCCTTTGGTCAGTTGGGATCAGTTGTCCTGGCTGTGTCCCCTTCTCAGCTTCTTGTGCACTCACAGCCTGCTTGCTGGCGGGGTGGTGTGAGAAGCAGAAAAGGCCTCGATGCTGTGTAAACACTGCTAAACAATAATGAAAACATGTCAATACTATCAACACTGTTTTCAGGACAAATCCAAAACATAGCCTCGTACTAGCTACTATGAAGAAAATGAACTCTATCTCAGCCAAAACCAGCACAGCAACTAATTCTTTTAACATACACTTTGGAAAACAATAAATGTGTAAAGTTGATTTGTTGTTATCTCGCAAAGAATTTTGAGAACTACTGCAAATGTATTATTTGGAAAATTGCTGAATAAAATTTTCAGTAAATTCTTTCCTTAAAACTATGGTACACTGCAATGAGTTGTATGCCTAAGCACTTAATCTCCTTGAGAATTTTTAATCCATTTTTTCTAGTGTTGTAAAATTCCACAAGAGGCAGCCTTGGTTTTAGATGAGCAACACTTTGATAGCCTTGGATAGCAGCCTTTATTTTGTTGATAGAACTTCTTTCGTAATTGATGTTACATGAATTTTTCTTCTCTCATTATTCTACAAATAAAGTGATTCGGCTCTGTCCCAAGTTCCCTTTCATGCAGGTCTTTTGTCATGTTTTTCTTAATTTTATTTTTATTTGTTACTAGTTAGATTGTGTTCTCCTGTCAGCTAATCTTTTGTAAATGTTTCAAGTGTCATCTAGTTAGGTATAACACAGAACTGAAAACCTTGTGGTCTTCCAGTTCACTCAGGATGAACGTGTTCCGTTTGTTTCCAGACAAAGATACCTCAAAAATAATACAAATATTTATATGAATGAATCAGGACAAATATGTGCGTGCTTGTAGATGTGTATATATTTGTCCAGATTAATTTGAACCATATATAGTTGAGCACTCAATACTGTGATGTATCTAGCAGCTGATCTCTTATAATAGCTTCATGTTACTACATCCTTTATTTATTTATTATTTAATAAGCTTACTGCATCAGTTTCTGCCAGGGAGCACAGCTGCAGAATAGCTGTTCCTCTCCACAGTGACAATATATCCTGGCTACTTTTTCATTCAGTAATGAAGTTGTTGGGTATTTATTATAAGGAACTTTTGTCAATTTAAGACGTTGAAAGTATTTAGCAAAGGTTCTTTAGTTTCTGTCTTACTTAAAAAAGCTATAGTCCCACATTATAGAGGAACTACTCTTCAGAAAATGTAGTGTAATAGTACTAATAGCAGTCACAAGGTAAAATAACTTATGATTAACATATACCATGTGCATATAATTTACTACTACGGTTAGATATCACAATTGATTTTAATGGAGATATGCCTGATTATTAATGTCAGTTGAAGAAGTAGAAGAAAAACTGATGCATTTGACAAAACTTCCAGTAGTTAATAGGATCCCCTCTTCTAAAGCCATTCATTATTCAGAATGCATTTTTGAAACCGATGGCCTCTTGTGCAGTACCAGCTATGTTTTGCTTAGCAAATAACTGCCTGCCAGCTCTGCCATGACTGTTCAATGCATAGGTTTAAGATCTTTTCCTTAGCAAAGTAGTGTTAAACCATAGCATGAAAAATCAAATAGGGTATGTTCTATGTACAATGGCAAAAGACTTACAGTAGTATGAAGTACAGGAAAGTGATACATGATTTTGCCTTACAAGTTTTCTAGCTGAAACCAGGAATGCTGCATCTTCTGTCAAGTCAGGGTGCTGTTTGTAGCACCACTTCCTGGAATGTCTTTATTTTTGCTGAAGATAGTTTGATTCATTTTTTTAAATGCTCCTGTATTTCTGCTGCTGATTTTACTTTTTATGGAAATGGTTGTTTATAGTGATTTATTACTAAATAAAGGATAAGAATTGGGAAAAGCTGAGTCATTAAAGGTATGGATAATACATATTGCAATCAAATTATTATAGTATTCCAGTATTCTACTGTTAGGAGATTTCACCTGCTCTTAAGCTGAAATGACTGAATTTTATAACGGGTCAGTAACTACTACCACAACTCCCACC